ATATGATTGTTGGGTTTTTCTCTGTATCTATGAAGCGCCTTGAGGCGACTTTTGTTGTGATTTGGCGCTATATAAATAAAATTGAATTGAATTGAAATTCCCAAGCCAGCACTATCCCAGTACTATCCCAGGGGTCTTCTCCCAACAGGAAATGCCCAAAACACCTCACCTAGGAGGCGCTCGTGAGGCATCCTGTTCATATGCCTAAACCATCTCAACTGGCTCCTTGCAGGCCAATAAGGTAAGAGAGGGGATGTAGATCAACCAGTAAGTCAACAGTGTCGCCTTTACTCTCACAGTTTGTCTACAGTCAGTAAAGTTTCTTCAACTTTTCAAGCACTTTTGATTATTTTTGAAAACTCATTTCCTACAAAATTAGAAAATTGTTTCTTTTTTCTCAGAAAGATGATAAGAACACCTGGTCTGCAGAGAGGCTGTTACTTAAAAACGACTTTTAGTTGGAACAAAACATTGCCATCCCATCCTCCTCACAGTGAGTGATTCATAAAGGCGTACCTGAGGGTGACGATGATGGCGGAAGGCTGAGCGCAGGCAGTGATGAGCGTGACGATGAAGAGAAAGATGAGGAAGGGGATGAGCGTATTGCAGGTGCGGTCGCACTTCCCCGACACGGCGTAGCCATTCTCGTTCAGGTAGGTCTTGACGATGACGAGCTGCAGCTGGTTGCTGCCCTGACTGCCGGTCGACGGCGTGATGACCTGCCGGCTCTGAACGCAGGCGCAGTCGGAGTAGTTTCGGATCTGGAGGGCAAATGAAGATACGTATGGAAGTTTAGATACATGGTTCACAATGTTAATACTTTAGACATTAATGCAACTGCTAAAAACAAGAGAAAGCCATGAAGAAGATGAATTAAATGAGACCAAACAAACAAATCCTTTAAAATAAAAACAGAAAATAACAGGAGTGTCCCTCAAACCACTGCTGCTCATATGGCAGTCTAACAGTGGGCGAGCAGACTACACCCTGAAGATTTGCACTGGTGTATTTTTAATGTCTTTAGCCTTTTATTACTTTCAAACCTATCCGAGTGCCTCCATCTAATAATGACGAAACGGCCTACAGAGGGCAGATCCAGCATCTGCTGACTCAAACAAAAACCTTGATCTTAATGTTATAGAAAGTCCAAAAAAGGTAGACAGAGCCCATCTACAACAGGGTAAGCTGAGAACATAACGAGCTTTCAGTTCCTTGGTGTCTACGCCTCTGGGGACCTGACATGGTCTCTATATACTTCGTGATAAGCAACAACAATGCCTCCACTGCCTGAGGAGATTGGAAAGGCTCCATCTGGACAGCTTCTACCACTGCACGGTAACATCTTGCACAACAGCTTGGTACGATCACTGCACCTGCAGCGGTGAGTGAAACCAACAGAGCGTCCTGTTGGCACCCGCTACGTGCCGTTAAAGACTGCTACCTGAAACGCTTTACCTTGCATGCGTGTAACATGAACTATGACCCCACTCACACTTTCAACATTGATCCCCCACCGAGTGTGAAACAGTACCAGTGTCTCACACTATAAGGCTCAGGAACAGATTTTTTTTGTTCCCGGACTGTAAATCTGTCTCTCCGATCATGTGCACCATAAGCACTGAACTCACAGTGACACACTGTAACACACATAATCACTGGATCAGAACCTGCCACACTCTGACACTTTATCAGTAATAACAGATTACCTATAAGTCACTAATCTGCTATTTTATTTTCTTTATATTAATCTATATGATTTTTTTTTAATTTTTATTATTTATTTTATCCTCTTTTATATCATTTCATGTTTTTGCTTTTCTATTATGTTGCTGTGTCGTGTCATTACTGTGTTGTGTTGCGCTGCACCTACATATTAATACTGCATATATCATTGTGTTGCCTTTGCTTGTATAATAACAACAAAATGAATTAAACAGAACTTTTTGGTAACATTTTGCTTTTTTTTTGCCAAAATTATTAAAATCTTCTGGTTTTTGGCCTTGAAATCACACATATACAACGCCAGGATAGTGTCCAGGTTACTACCCCGTAGTGTTTACAAGTTCAAACAAGTTAAACGGAAGATCCTTTTAAAATGAATATTGAGGGAAAGCACATCTAAACTAAAACCTTCTTCCATCTCACTTCGAAATAATTTATAAAGTAACAGTTAAGTTCAAGAACACTGTCTAAATGCAATTATTAATTTGAAAAGAACAGAAAAATA